TTTTTTTTCACAAAGAATAAAAATTATGTAAATGCAATTGAAAATCACATCTTATTTATCCAAATAGCAACAAAATCAAGGCTACAATAATATATTAAGGCATATAAAATGCATCTCATTAGAAGGATTGCATTGATTCCATTGACATCCTACCAAAACCGCCATTTCTCAATGTTAATTTGCAATGGTTTTCCTCATTTGCCTTCCTTCTTTCTAATTTTCAATCATCTCGAAAGAATGAAGGCAAATGAGCGATACCACTAACTACCACTTCACGTAGATTACGTACTATCTTTGTTGGGATTGCATCATGCACGTCCAATTGCCTTGCCGTTTTCTATTTCATATGATCATCATCATCGCCACGACTATAGCTGCCTTCCTATACTCCTCAAATTTCCCAGACTGGTCTAGAAAATTAGCTACTCTTCTACCCTTTGATTTCCCATATCATTTTAAGAATTAATATGGGGAAATTGTGGATCTACAAAGCTTAAAATTGCTAGGGTTCGCATGAGAATGGGATATATATAAATGAGAGACTCAAGTAAGTGAAATGTCATATATTAACCAACAATAAATACATGTAATGAGAAAAAAACATGAACAAGGGCCAGTAATTGTTTCAAATCACTATTGCGATTTATTTTAATTTAATCATACATTGATAATGACATTAATTAAACCCCATTTCTAAACCAAAACACAGCCTTCCATTACAGTGACAGCTTTTCCTCGCAGAAGCACTCTCTGGTTTTGTTCATCCAAATGAACGTTTAGGATTCCCCCTCTAGGTGATGCCTAAGCAAAGGTATATGACACAATCAATATAAACAACTATTATAAGTTAATAACAACTATGATTTTTAGGTCTGTGAGAGGTGTGCGCGTGTGTGTGTGTGTGTGTCTCTGAGAGAGAGAGAGAGAGAGAGAGAGGGGATACCGCATAGGCAATGAAGTCACACTTGCCAAGCTTTTGGCTCCAATATGGTGTCAAGGTACAATGTGCACTCCCACCAACAGGATCCTGAAAAGTGTGAAGCAACATGATTTTAGATAGCTACTGAGAGATTGTTCCATTGCTTTATATATACCTATAAAAATAATACAGCGCAACAATAGAGGGTTGAATCAAAAGTCCATCAAGGTAAGGCGTAGATGCCTTTTTAAGTTTAAAACAAGCATACACATTCATTTCCCAATTCCAAACACTAAATTGGAACTTCGAAGTTGAATTGATATATCTTATTTTGTTATTTGGAGTAGCATCTATGTTTCAGTTATTAGACTTCTATACTTGCAGATTTTGGAGACATTCTCAGCATCTTATAAACAAATTTTCCTTCTAGGGGCCAGATAATATGTCTTTTTGATGTGTCCATGCCAACGAAGTTAAAAACTTAAAACACAAGGTGTTATGTCTAAAATAAGTTCATATATGATAGATGCTTAAAAGATGAAAAAATAAATAAATAAAAAATTTCAGAGACCAGAATGGCTGTGCATTACCTCATTGACACCATACTTGGGGCAGAAGAATCGACTCATGAAATCAAATCCAGACTCTGGAGGAGCAATACCTGAGACAATTATGCCACGTCCAGGACATTTTTGTATGGCATCAAACCGTGGCTGTAGTTCCATAACATGTTTTCCTGATGGTAGCACAATCTGCCAAAAATGCAGTGCTAGCTTCACTCTCACATCAATATACTATATAGAAAACTACAGGATAAATAAATATATGATGCACCTCTTCACAAAAACACAGTTGTTTTAGGACAACTAACATCCCATCATATCCAAATGGTCATACCACTCATTTAAATCAATTAGTACTCCTTTTTTGGGCCGGCAATTAGCACACAAAAACAAAGAACAAGAAACTTCAATGTAACATTCAATCCAAAAGCAGATAAAGGAAAAAAAGCAACTGTAGATTGGAGGAATTACGAAGAGGTCATCTGAAGTAGTTGTCCTCTTGATATCAATCAGTGAAGCACCATTCAAGGCTTCTGAAATATCCGAAACCTCTGCAGAATTGAATTCAGTGGTAGGATCTACAGGAAAATTCAATTCAATCAGAAAGCCTTCATGTGCTCCACCAGTCTGAATCTTCGAGGAGGCATCAGTTGCCTTGACATCAGGAACCTTTTTAGCTGTCAGAATTCCAGACAGTGTGTCGAATTCAATTATTTCAGAATTCACCAAACCAGTTGCAAAGAGAATATGTGCAGATGCTAATGTTGCATGACCGCAGAGTTCAATCTGTAAAAAAGACACAAAGATTTGAATTGACCCAAAATTAAATCTTGAAGCCGCAGTTCTGGTGGGCAAAATCTGATAAATTGAAAAGCAATTTAATGATAACCCTCAATAAACAAGTGGGCAAAATCCATTCTGCTGGGTAACCCATTAACCCACCTCAGCCACCGGAGTGAACCATCTGAGACGAAACCTAGGAGTTGCACATTCCGGGTCAGTAATCCGAGTCAAGTAACCAGTCACTGGGATGCTGAACTCAGCAGCTAATGATTGCAACCATTCCTCGTCTCTCTCCTCCTCTAATAAACAAACGGCGGCCGGGTTCCCCTTGAAAGCCGAGTCCGTGAACCCGTCAACCTGTGATAGATTCACAGCCATTCAATTTCAAGCAACATATGCATTCAAGAGGGAGTGAGAGAGGAGAGGAAGAAACGAACTTACGACAAAGTACTTAACGGGTCCTTTGGCCATATTAAAAGAGGGCGAGAAAGATTCGAGCTTGACGAGAAGAGGAGTTCAGCTTCTGTGGAGGAGAAGAAACAATTTTTAAGAGCGGAAGAGAAGACGACGCAAGGGGCTCGCCGAGTTCTGTCCTGCTGCCGCCGCTATATGGGGGGAGCTATACAACTGCGCCACGCAATTGCCGGCTGAAAGTGGGGGTGCTGGTAATGGTTTAAGGTTGCAGATCGGTGACGTTGTTGACTTCCATTTGTTTATGATATAGTGCCAGTGGATTTCGTGATGCTGATGCAGTATAAACTGCTGTAGAGAAAA